TAAATGTAGAATATAAATGTCTTAACACAATAACTAAGAAAATGACGTGAAGGCTGTGTTAACCAGTTGGATCAAAGTATTTCAAATTGTATATAGAAACAGCACTCTGTACTCCATGATAGTATTAAGGTACACTGCTATGATTTAATAAAAATAAAAGAAAAAAAAAGAAAAAGAAATAAATAAGTAATGCAATCATAACCAGGGTAAAAAGAAAACTTCTAGCTCCTGATAATGGCGGAAAGATATTTCAGTTGCCAACTCTAAATATAACATGTGGCGTTTTGTGGCGTGAGGTTTAGAGTTTGGCCCTTTTTGAAAGACCTGCAGAGCAAGCAAACTTGAGGTGGCAGGTTCAAATCTGACCCCGGCCAAAAACTGCCACAAAAAAGAAGTTTCAAACCATGAAAGAAGGGCTGGTCATTTTTACTGGCAAACTAATCGGAATACTAAGTATTTTCAAATTACCTGTGATGTGTCTTTTCTAGAATGTTGACAGCTAAGGGCATGGGCTTGGGGGCCACCCAAAAGGCCAGACAGGAGATATAGTTTGGTTATCTCCTAAATGTTGCGATAAGCTTGGACACAGTTCTTTGTGCTCTAAATAAAAATATTTCCAACTGTAACATAGTGATCCTCCCTCCTGTATCAGGAGATGACACATTCTGACGCCCCAAGAATAATGCCTAGCCCAGAGTCAGCACCTCATCAAAAGTACTCATGGCTAAGATGTCGTTAATTATTCAAAATAGTGGTCTGATTTTTAGAGGTCAGTAAAGGCAATCTGTCTTGGGTTGGACGGAGATTCTTTTCCTTAGAATATAACATCTAAAATAAGCTAGTTGACAACAGTTTGGCTATACAGTAGAGGAAATTTAACAAGTCCCATTTGGTGACATTTTTATCCCAAGGCAGAAGTTTCCTTTCCCCTGGGTATGGAAAAGGCACCTCTCACAGAAGCCTTCCGACCTACTTCAGGGGAAAGGGCAGGAGAAGGGCAGAGAACGGCTTTGCTCAATTTTATGACTGCTGCAGGGGAGAAGGGTGAGGGGAAGGTGAGGTCATCTTTCTGTGTATGCCACTTTCTCAAATGCCAAGTTGTCACATTTTGGAGGAGTACGTCCCGAACTCCATCATAACCTTACGGAAACAAAAACAAAAAATCAAACAAACACAAAAATTGAACTCTTGAAGTCACTCATTTCCATCATCCAGCCAGGATTTACCACTGATGGGCGGCACGGCATGCCACCTCGAAGTATGCCACAAGGATCATTTTGAGTTAAAGACACGTAAAAAAAAAAACAGAAAGAGTCTGCATTCTCTGTACCGGGAAAAAGAAACATGTCACCAGAGACTGGAGGGACTCCCACGTGAAAAGTTCACTTCCTGTGCAGGAGAAATGAACCTTTTTGTCACAAGAGACTTGGAGTCAGGGCTGAGCCAAATCAGTACAAACAGATGTCATTATAACGCTGACCGTTCTGCAGACTCCCCAGGGGTTTTAGTGCATTTTCCACAATCACCCTTCTCTGCCAGGCCGTCCTATGTGAGGATCTAGATATTTGTCCCTTCTTTGGGTCCTCATTCTTCTAGGGGGTCCCCTCTCCTTGTGAAAGTTTGCATGCTCTTCTGTCATGTGTCCCATGTCAAGTTAATTCCCAGACCCAGCCGGAACCCGAAGCAGGAGGAGGTGAAGTTTTGCCTTCCCCGTGCTACGCTTGCTGCAATCAAATTTCAGACGTATGGTACAGTTTTGGGAAGTCTCTGATGTGGTTGGAAATGGAATTCTCCATATATTCTTTAGAGAGACAGTCAGAAAGTGTAAAACTGAGAGAAGAGATTGAGAGAGAACATTAAGGACGAGATCTGGCTTCTGCTAGGCTACTTTTGTACATTTAGATCTTACTCTAAAGACGAACTATCGTCCTGGGTTGCCACGACCATTTCTGGATCACTTTCCCCAGCTTGCGAGGCGACTTTTGTTTAATTTCTGTGTCTCTTGTTGGGACGCAGCAAAGCTTCAACTCAAAATACAAACTTGATTTTAGGGTGTGATGGCTAATGCATGAGGCAAAGATTAGTTTCTGCCTCAAACCAGCTGACCCCGCATCGATCATTTTTTTTAAATAATTGAATCGTCAATGATTAAACAGAAAACATCCTTAAACTCTCCACGGTTATCTTTATTTCCTTTTCACGTTAATTTATTCCATTTTGCCTCTGGCATGTTGAACTCTGTCTATGCTAATATCTTTATCTGGCTTTCTCTTGGGGTTTTTCTCTGCCTCTCGTGTATACAGATCTAGGCTTCCAAAAACTTTTAGTGCCTGGGACTTTGTGGCAGCAGAAGTGGGACATTTACCAGAGATCTCTTTCCTTCACAGCAATCACCCATATACATCATCTCCACTAGGAATAAAAAGCTTCACACATTCAAAAGAACTATGATTGTTTTACCCTTTTTTTTTTTTTTTTTTTATGCCTTAAGCAGAACCATCAATTCTGTCAGGCTAAAGAATAAAACCATTTTTATTTGCAATATTCTCCACCAATGTACTATGTATGGCTTTTATAGTTAAAAAACCATCATCTCCTCCACGCGTAAATATTTTCCTGGGATGAGAAATTCAATAAAACCACAGGTTCCTAGCCTTTGTGGTTGGTATAAACAAGCCCTGCCTTTTGAGGTTTCAGTCTCCAAAGGTGACAGCCACGGATTTTATTTTAAAGGTTACACGTTGCATTTTTTTTTTAATGTGTTTGCAAGATTTATTCATAAGTGGTTAAATGTTTCCACATCTCTGAAGTCACCTGCTAGAATGGGCCCCACTTTACATATGGGAAATCATTTATGGGAAGCGAACAATATGGCCTTTGTACCTCTAACCACAAGCTGGCTCCGCTTCACCTTCACAATTATCTGAGTTTCCAAAATTATTTTCCTGGTGTGCACTGCGTTTCCTTCTCTGAGAAACAGAGAACAAAATTGCCTTATCCCAAGCTCATACTGTAGCTTTTGAACGTCAACAGTGTTTTCTCTCTTCTGAAATGTTTTGGCTGCGCCCCAGAGGAAGTGTAGTGTAATAGAAAGACCCTGCGGATGCCACACAGGTGACTACCGCAGGTCTCGATTTCCATATGTATGAATTTCCTACCACCCCTTCCCCTTTGGCTTCTTACAAGATATATTTCTTACAAGGTACGTTTCCAGAATGTGGTTATGTCTTGGCGTCCAGGTTATGATGATATTTATCTTCATTTACACTTATGTTTTTTTTACAAATTCTCTACAGTAAGTATGTGTTATATAGCAGAGAGGGGAAGGCATTTTTTTTTTTTAAATGAGACCACATGAGTCGTAAGTAAATTCTAGACATCAACAGGCCCTGATTCTGAACACTAATGTCTTCAAAGCAGATTATATGAGCATGTCTCTCCACCCAGCTAAAGGAGAGAAGGAAAAACAGAACTACACAGGCCTACTGTTCTTTCTTGAGCCCTTGGAACAACTATTTGGAAAGGCAACATAGATGCATTGGGTAATAATGTCACAACTGGCTGCCAATCATCTGGGGCTAAATAAAGCTCACATTCCAGAGGCTCTGGCCCTTCTACTGCTTAGTTTTTCTTTGTCTGCTTCAGTACATTATTGTTATTTTTTTTTTAAGAAGCAGAAATGTTTGCAGGGCAGCAGCTCTTTGTGCCGTCTGTTATAACAGTTAACTACCTACCCTCCCTTTCCACAACTCTCTCTCTCTTTTTCTACAGTGGACAAGTGGAAGGAAGACCTTCCTTCAGAATCATCACAAAACATCGAACTAAAAAGGCCCTATTCATGGAGTTTGGAGAGGAATCCTCAGGGCGGTTCATAGCCTCTTCGGAGATGGAAAAGACATTAAGGGTCATTTAGTAAAGTGCAACATTTATAAAGTGAGAAGAAAGCCAGAGGATTGCTGGAGAAGCCCTGTCCCGAGTCAGCAAAGCCAAGATTCAAGTCCAAGTTTTTCCCGTCCAAGTTCAACCTTTCTTTCCAACATTTTCACTCCATTTGAAGACACAGTCTATTATTACTCTGGAAGGGAGAAAACACATCTTCTTTACAGTTCATATACCAAAAGAACGTTCCTCAAATTTGCTTTGGTTTAATTTTGTTTGCTAGTGTATCATAGAATTCTATTTTTCTTTTTATGGGCACTTACTTATCTCTACTTGGTAGTTCTACTTCCCAAAAATTGTATACCCAATAGTAACCAAGAGGATCACAAAAATCACACCCCCAGCCAAAAACCTTTCACTCCATTCTTTAAAAAATTAAAAAATAAACACAATCAACCCTCTACTCTTCGCCTCTCTCTCTGATATAAAAGGAAAAATGACAAAAGAAGAAACAGATGTGGACGTGTGTGTTGCTGCACCCGTGGCACTGAGCTTAGCGGCCACAAGGAAGGGAATCCCCAAGGTAGTGGCACACCCAAAAAGAACTGGTAGCACATTCCCTGGAAAGCAGCCAGCCAAGGCTCCAAGCAAGAGGGAGATTTCTAGTGATCACCTTGTTCTGGACAAACACCTCTTGCCAAGGCCAACATAAGATCAGAATTCTGACACTCCATTTTGCTGGATCAACCTTATACTTAAAAGAAAAAGAAAATATTACCAAACTGTTTTTAAGTTTCCCATGATTTAAATGATCTTATAAAAACAAGACAAAGGTGAACGTTTTAAATCAATAACTGAGAAAATGACATGAAGGCTGTGTTGACCAGTTTGATGGAAGTATTTCAGATTGCATGTGAAAACCCCACACTGTACCCCAGAAGTGCATTAATGTACATAGTTACCATTCAATAAAAAAAAAAAAAAATAAGACAAAGAATCTACTTGGGTTGGGGCAGCACCTGTGGCTCAAAGGAGTAAGGCACTGGCCCCATATACCGGAGGTGGGGGTTTAAACCCGGCCCCAGCCAAAAACTGCAAAAAAAAAAAAGAATCAATTTGGGTTAATTTAAATAGCTTTGAATAATGCTTTTTTTTTTTTTTTTTTTTTTTTTTGAGAAGATAGCATGCCTTTGACAGGGACAAAAAGGTGTGCTAACTTTCCTTGGTGGTTCTACGGGTCCCGTAAATCAACAGAACTGGAGGACACGATGTTAAGTGAAATAGGCCAGGAACAGAAAGGTGAGTGCCACGTATTCCCATTCATACACAGACGCTAAAAAATGTTGATCTTAGGAAAGCAAAAAAGTAGAGCTGAGGGAGGCTGCAAAGGTCAGGGAAGCAGGGATAGGGACAGATTCTTTGTTAGTTAATAGAAAACAAAAAACTACAGCGGAATAGAAGGAAGGAGCTCTGTGTCTAGACACCATGGAGTGACTATACTTAAGGATGAGATGATATATTATAGAGTTTCAGACAGTTGGAAGAAGAGCATTGAATGTTCCTAATACAAAAAAATGACAAATGTTGGAGATGATGCATTTGCTAATTACCCTCATCTATCACTCAACATTGTGTGTATGGAAATTTCACTATATCCTCCATAAATATATATTTATATGTAGGTGGGTCAATAAAACAAAAGGCAGGTTCACAAAAGAAAGGCAGAAGGAGCTTTCTCGCTCCCCAGCCATCTGGTGCTGGTCTTGGTTGGGGTGCGTCCTGCAGCTAAGGTCAAATGGTGGCCACAAAAAAGACCAAAAGTCCTCGGAGTTGATCAGCTTGAGGCTCCAGCTCATTATGAAAAGTTTAAAGTACACGCAGACTCTGAAGATGGTCAGACAAGGCGAAGTGAAGTTGGTCACCCTCGCCAACACCTGCCCAGCTTTGAGGCAATCTGAAATAGAGCACTCAGCCATGTTTGCCAAAAATACTGATGTGGGCACAGCACGGGGAAAATACTACAGACTGTGCACACTGGCTGTCACTGATCCAGGGGACTCTGACACCATCAGAAGCATCCCAGGACGGACTGGTGAAAAGCAAATCATGAAATTCTTTTCTTTAATAAAATTTGGCAACCCAGGTATGATTATAAACTCATGACTATAATCCCAGCACTCTTGGAAGGCCAAGGCAGGAGAATTGCTGGAGCTCAGAAGTTTGAGACCAGTCTGGGCAAGAGCCTCTCTCTACTAAAATAGAAACATTAGCTCGGTATTGTGGTGGATGGTTGTAGGTCCAGCTACTCACTCAGCTAAAGCAGGGGGATCACTTGAGCCTGGGAGTTTAAGGTTGACCCCAAAGCACTCTAACCTGGGTGACGGGAGTGAGACTCTGTCTCAAAAGCAAAACAAAACCAAAAAATTTTCCCATGTTTTCCATGACATGGGAAACTCTGAAAACCACACCACCCAGGAAAAACTTTTATTTTTATCTTTTTATCTTCAGATTCACTGAAGAATGGATAGATGTGTAAAATGTGATTGAACCAAAGGGTAGGATCTAGTGGTGATAAACTGAGAGGGGAACCCAGCAAAGCTTCTCTGTTCAGATTCTGCTTGGGCTATGTATCATTTGTTACTCCCGAGTATGAGACAAGACCCCTCTGAAATGATGCAATGCTGGTCTTCAAGGGAGAAGGGAAGGTAGAGAGTGACTCTTTCAGGGTTTATGGCTTTGTTTGGGGGAAGAGGAGATCTACTTTCTATGACCTGCCTTGACAGAGAGGAAGTTTGGTTTTTCTGAATTAATTTAGGGAGGAAAAGAGGAGCCAGAGGCAGGAGAGTGGTAGGAGGTCACAAAGACCTTGCTTCTGGGCCTCCCAATCGCCTTCAGTTCTAAGTACCCAGCACACCAGGCTTCCAGACTCTGGGGTATTGTGTTCTGAGTTCCAACAACAGGTAGGAAAAAAGTCATTTCTCTCTGAGGTCAAATCACCTCTAGCACTTGAGTTTTCCATTTCAGCTTGGACGTCACATTTCAGAATAGTGCCTGATTCTAGAAACCTATACCACAAGGTCAGATTTGGACAAGAGTAGATTTCCCAACCCAAGACTTGACCATTTACATATCTTCTCCGTTCTCTCTTCCCAAACAGCCGATTCATAGATAAACCATAGATGATTTAGGGGATGGGACACATCAGAAAAACAGATATGGGAACATGTCTTTCTTTTAGTAACTGCTGACAATTTAAACGGGACTTGGTTTCACAATACCCAGGTCTAGGGCAAGTTCAATCACTTCAGTTTGTGTTGAAGTATTTCCCACCCTTCACAGTGAAACTAGGTGTTTATGAGGGAGGTGGAGGAGGGTCACCTATAACCGGGCATTATCCATCCACTATGCCGGGGTGAGTCAGCCTCTCGCCACAACAGTCCTCAAGGCCAAAAAGTCTTATTTTCAATTCAAAGACTTAGACATGGAGCATCATCAAAGTTAAGCAATTTGCTCGATTCAAAACTACAAAAGAGTGGAGTGGGGATTTATTTGACAACAAAATCTATTGGCTTCTCCCCAAATCATGACTCTTCTTTAAACTGCTAAATACTCAAGCTAATCTCCAGTATGTGAGGGTGTGATGTTTTTCCTCTTCACTGTTACACAAAAGGACAAAACTTGAGGCCCTACCCATTCTTACTTTTTTGAAGCTATATTCCAAAATATCAAAATGGAAAAAAAAATCATTGTTTTCCATTTAGGAAAAATTCAGACTTTTTAAACACATAATAAGTGGGAAGGAAGCTTATTATATGGAGATTACGTAGACACGTCCGTAGGTGAAAGGAAAGTCATTTTGAGTGTGAGAGCTGTGGTTTTCCCATGTTGGAAGCAATGGAAATAAAAAATGAGTAGTGATAACCTGCCTTTCTTTGGACACTCACTGAGGCTGACTTCCTAGACCTCAACATCTTCGTGCAGAAAGCTGGACCTCTTAGAGAATGCTTCCTGTGTGTAACAGAAGGCTACCTTTCCTTCCACAGGTAGATTTTAAGCTCCTTGAATACCTATGTCCTGTTTCTCTGTCTTGACATGTACAAAGAACATGACTTTGCATTTCTATGATTCTCATCTAGTAAGACATGCAAAGAGGGAAGAAGCGTTAGAGGAAAACAGATAGGGCTTGGCCAGTGAAGAAAGAAAGAAAAAGGAAGGAAAGAAGGGAGGGAGGGAGATAGGAAGGCAAGGAAGAAAGAGGACTGGCGTGGTGGTTCATGCCTGCAATCCCAGCACCGTGGCAGGCCAAGGTGGGCGGATTACTTGAGCTCAGGAGTTCGAGATCAGCCTGAGCAAGAGTGAGAACTCCCCCAACCCCCTACTCCCACCCCTGTCTCTACAAAAAATAGAAAAATTAGTCAGTCATCATGGCAGGCGCGTGTAGTTCCAGCTACCTGGGAGGCTGAGCCAGGAGGAATGCAGGAACCCAGGAGTCTGAGGTCACTATGAGCTATGATGCCATGACATTCTATTTGGGGCAATAGAGCAAGAATCTGTCTTAAAAAAACAATAGGAAAGAAAAAGAAGGAAGGAAGGAAGGAAGGAAGGAAGGAAGGAAGGAAGGAAGGAAGGAAGGAAGGAAGGAAAGGAGGGAGGCCGGCAAGCTAACTGCAACATTCCCCAGGTTTTTCCAGCTCTGCCACATCTTTGCAAATCCATTTTCCATGAATCATCTTGGTTATTTCCTTCCTAATCTTGAGCCTCCCTTAATCTCTTTAAAACCCATAAATTAGATAGACAGTCCTTTGCTTGTGGCTGAAATGTATTCCATCAGCAAAATTTATTTTCTGTTGATGGACAAATCAAGACCCCAAGACCTCATGACTTGTGACCTGTCCATGATTGATAAGTCTCTCCAATAAACTGGTTCAACACACTGAGCCTGACACTCATGGCTCTCTTCTTCTGTTCCAAAGGACGACCAGTGTCACGTCGGCCGGTAGATGAGCCTTTTGAAGTTATGATGTAAGTAGAAAGCAAAGAAAGGAAGAACACTGGTTGTTTTTATATCAGAAAATATCTTTGAGATTCATTCTGCTGGCTCTGGTTTTTAAATGAGGAATTTAAGACGCTTGCCGACAGTCCTCAGTTCCAGAATTCATTTCTTTCTAGTTGCTCTGAACATGAACAGCTCTAGGTCAGCTGGAGCGTGCTCATAAAGGGATTCGAATGCTACAAAGGTCGTCCTGACAGCCACTGGGAAGCCAGCAAATTTGAATTATTACTTTCAAACAAATCGCTGTGTTGATTTGCATTGTGATTGCTATCACAATGCATAGCTGGTCCAGCCGGCAATACTTCTGTTGTCTTAAAAACACCACTTATTTTGCATTTATATTAACTGCTACAATAACTAATTAGCAGGCTTTTAGACTCAGACAAGTTCAGTGCCTTGGAATTCTACACAGACAAACCGAGACTTAGTATAAATAGTAAAATGAAACTGAAGCTTAACCAATTAGAAATCACCAACTAACCTCCAATTAGGGACATTCTATCGAGTCATACCCAAAGGGGGCACACACCCCACTTGTAGCCAATCAGCCTATAAACCTGATAGCTCACAGTGCCTAATCAGAGTTCTTAACCTCTTCTGGTTGTAGTAACAAATTCATCAAACCTTTAGTGAATGAATACACTGTTAAATTTATTTTGTCTAGAATTTTTCCTTTAACATAACCAAACTCCTCAAAGACCCTCCTTAATCTTGACGAAAAACAGTAAGATCAAAAAACAAACAAACAAACAAACAAAAAACAGTAAGGTCTTCTGGTTACAGCTTACAAATATGTACCCTTCTCCCTAAATTCAATTCCAATTTTCTGTCACTTAAAAGTTATAGGTACTTGGGACAAACTATATTATATCTCAATTTTCTGATCTATAAAATAGTGATGGTATCTGCTGTAGAGGGTTGTTACAATTAAGTCATTTTCATTCCCAGGGATCATTTAGAATTATGCTGGATTTACTTTTATTTTTTTGCAAGTTTTTGGCCAGGACCAGGTTTTAAGCCACCACCTCCAGCACATGGGGCCGGTGCCCCACTCCTTTGAGCCCAGAACTAGGCTGGATTTATACGCATCATAACATTAGTGATCATTATTCTTGTTAAAACAGATAGCTCAGATTGTTATCTGTTTCCTTGTGGGAAAAAGAACTAGATGATATAAAGAAGAAAACAAAGAAATGAACCCCTCCAGGGCTTACCTACCATAAGGATACTCATAATATTGCAAGCCTCAAGACAAATGTGAATAACTGTGGGTGAACAGCATGGGTTGGGAGCACCTCCCAACATTTGTGGTTTCTCATGGTTCCCCATCTGCCTACTCCATAATTGTTTAGGGATCAGAAAATTCTTAACCTGTTTCCTTTTATAAAATGAAAAACATAATACAAAAGTAAATTGGGCTATTTGTCTTAGTGTTGATTTTGACCAAAATTAATGCAATATAATTTTTGTCAAAGTCTCTTGTGAAGTAATTGTGTATCAACTTCCAACCTCGCAAAGCCCAGTTTTGATCATGGTTCTCTGTCACTAGTTCCTACAAGTAAAATAAAATTCTTTAGCCTAGAGGTCAAGGCTTTCCTGGATCTAGCAAAGCATCCTTTCCTAGGCGTTATTTCCCCAAGTCTGGTCAAACTGAACAATTATTCATGATGCCTGGTCACAGACTGAATATTTATTTATTCGTTTTCTAAAGCTATTCCTGCCATGTGGGATGCTTCTTCTTCTCCATCTCTATCTGTCCAATTCTTACACATCCTTCAAGGTTCAAATACCACTCCTATGAGATCCTACCTAATTTCCCTAGAGTCAACATTATTTTTTTCCTTCTCTGAACTACAGCCTTATTTAAAATATCACGGGAAATCAAAGCTCATCGGACATGCCACTGTGTGTCAGCAACTGTAGCAAATGACTCTCTCTTCCCCAAATCCACTCTGCTTTTCTCTCCCCGGTGCGTCTGCACATTCTGTGTCTACAACTTAAGATGCCCTCCAACCTTTAATTCACTTAGCAAACTCCCCATCCTACCAACTTCAGTCCAAGTGCTCTGTTGTCAGCCAGAACTCTCCAAGGCAGGTGAGATAAATTCTTC